CAAAGAAGACTTACCTCCTATCCGAAGAAAGAAAGAAAGATCCGCTCCTAAAAAAGAAGAGGAAGTTAGTAAAAAAAGAACGAAATACACCCCCAAAGAAGACTTACCTCCTATCCGAAAAAGAAAGAAAGATCCGATCCTAAAAAAAGAAGAGGAAGTTAGTAAAAAAAGAACGAAATCCACCCAAAGAAATCCCAAGAGTCCCCAAAGAAGACTTACCTCTATCCGAAGAAAGAAAGAAAGATCCGATCCTAAAAAAAAAGAGGAGGTTAGTAAAAAAAAAAGAATGAATCCACTCCCAAAGAAATCCCAAGAGCCCACCAAAGAAAACTTACCTCCTAAAGAATCCTTCGAAAGAAAACATAACCGAAGAGAATTATCCTAAATTCATAAAATAAAATTAAATAAAATAAAAAAAAAATAATAATAATAAAAAAAAAAATTTCTCCGAATTAAATAAAATAAATTCGAATTAAATAAAAAAATCTTCGAGAACTCCAATTTCTAAATAAATTAAATAAATTCAATAATAAATAAACTGAGAATTCCAAATGCTATAAAAAATAAAATAAATTCAATAATAAATAAACCGAGAATTCCAAATGCTATAAAAAATAAAATAAATTCGAATTAAATGAAAAAAAAATCTCTGAGGAACTCCAAATGCTAAATAAATTAAATAAATTCAATAATAAATAAACCGAGAGCTCTAAATGCTATAATAAATAAATAAAAAAAAAATAAATAAATAAAATAAATTCGAATTAAATAAATAAATAAAAATCTCCGAGAACTCCAAATGCTATAAAAATAAATAAAGAATTAAAAAAAAAAATAAATAAAATAAAATAAAATAAAATAATCGAAAAAAAAAAATAAATATAAAAAAGGAAATAGGTATACGCTTCTTTTTCGCGCTTATATTTTGGTTGGCCTGTCTTTTCGTCTATTCCGTCCGTTTCTAATAATTCATGACCAGACAGCTGAGCGTTCTTATTAGATAAAATGGTAGGAAAAGAAAAGGCGAAAGTATATAACAAAAAAAGCAAGTATTAATCGATAATAGATTTTGATCAAATATATAATAGTAAGTTTGATATTTTTCATTTGATTTAAGTAGAGTGAATAAAGAATCAAATTGATGAAGCTTACCTCCTTTTTATTAGCGGATCTTTCTTTCTTTCTTCGGATAGGAGGTAAGTCTTCTTTGGGGGTTCTTGGGATTTCTTTGGGGGTGGATTTCATTCTTTTTTTTTACTAACCTCTTCTTCTTTTTTAGGAGCGGATCTTTCTTTCTTTTTCGGATAGGAGGTAAGTCTTCTTTGGGGGCTCTTGGGATTTCTTTGGGGGTGGATTTCGTTCTTTTTTACTACTTCCTCTTCTTTTTTTAGGAGCGGATCTTTCGTTCTTGAGGTAAGTTTCTTTGGGCTTTTGGGATTTCTTTAGGGTAGATTTCGTTCTTTTTTTTACTAACTTCTTCTTTTTTTAGAAGCGGAGCGATCTTTTTTCTTCAGATAGGAGGTAAGTCTTCTTTGGGAGCTCTTGGGATTCCTTTAGGGGTTGGATTTCATTCTTTTTTACTAATTTTATTAATTTTTTATTTTAGAAGCGGATCTTTTGTAAGTCTTCCTTAGGATTCTTGGGATTTCTTTAGGGGTGGGTTTCATTCTTTTGCTAACTTCCTCTTCTTTTTTTTAGAGATTTTAAGTGATTTTTTAGGGTGAATTTACTAGTTTCCTTTTCTTTTTTTCTAGGAATGGACATGATTCTTATATGCTGAACAATGTTACAAGCATTCTACAATAATTCTGATGCAAATGTGATATTTTCTATTATTAACTCCTTATTTTATCAATCCATTCGAGTTGCTTCTAATGGAATTGATTTTTAGAATTTATGGATTAGCAATTCATAAAAGTTTTTGAAATAAAAGGTTTACTTTTTTTTAAATGAAGTGTTTTAAGGATTTTCTCTTTTTTGACAAGTAAAAAAAAAAAATAAAATAAAAAATGATTCAAAAAAGAAAATATGATTTTAAATGATCTCAAATGATCTCAAATGACCTCAAATGATCTCATTTTTTGTTATAAATAATTATACCGTATTTTCTGAAAAATCATATGATTTTAAAATAGCCAATCAAAATTTGACTGTCAAAACTAATTATTAATTTACTCAAAACTTATATAATTTATTAATAAATATACCCCAAAACTCCGAAACATATTTCGGGTTAAGGTTAAAATGTTATCTCATCTCCAAAACCACCGAAATTAATTTCGGAGTTCTGGAGTTTCAGGGATTTATAGTTTCGGCTGGCAGCTTTATGTGAGAGACAGGAGATAAATTTTTATTTTCTTTTTGAATTTTTTCTGCAATAGATGGGTCACATTCAAAAACTTTTCTGTACTCATTACTATTTTGCTAAAAGTATTTTATGATGAATATCTACTACTAGCATATACACGACCGAACTATCGCTAATCTTTGTCATATATGTATTTACATTGTGAACATTCTAGTAGAGCTTTCTGGTTAAAATATACGAAGTTTTCTGAATCTTTTTCTTCGATAGTCCAATCCCTAAGATAGTTAGAATGTCTCTGTAAAATAAGGTTCACACATTTTTATAATATATCATAACTTACGATTATTCTTAGTAGATTATTATTTTTTTCTGTATTAAGTAATCAGGGTCTTACTTCAACTATTAAGCTAGTAGGTGGCTGAACTCTAGTATGATTGAGATCATTCCACCCATTATCTAATGAAAATTGAAGAATGCATTTTACATGACCTTTTTTTTGCTGAACTGATAAAGCGAAAGTTAAAATTCTGACCAGATAATCCTCAATCAATATACTTACCAAATTTCTCTCTGGTTAAGGTATATACTAATTCTGTGAATGCTTTGAGTTCATGATGATCAATAAGAAAAGCTGGTGCATATAAATATGGTAGCTACACTTGCTAGGGTCTGATGACGTAATGATTACCAATTCTCTGTGAATATCTTCCTAGTTACAATCAAGAATTCGATACAAAGCTCTTATGAAAGATAAACAGATTTGAATAAATACTTCTTGTATCTTAATACCATTTGCTTTCATATCTTCTTGTAAAGCATCTATATCAATCACAACTCTTAAAGGATTTTGACTGTTAATACATTTATGAATCTCAGGCAAGCCATATACTTAAGAAATATCATCTGCAATAGAAAACTTTAGGGCTTGATCAACATCTTGGTTGATTTTGATAACCAATTTATCTTTCATTTCATCCTGATTATAAGCATTATATAAACTAGACCCTTTTTTATTCAAAAAGAGAAATGAATAGATTGGAAGACATTCAAATAACCTCTTTTCATCTGACATATTTCTAGGTGGTGATAGGAAATTTCTCAAATGGCATTTAGCAAGTCCTTAGAAGAAAAATTATCATTAAACTTTTCCTGCTTTAAAGTATATGTCACATCAATCTTTTGCTTTTTTACATTTGATGGTTAAATCAATAGAGTCTTAATAGTGCTGGTTGAAACGTAGGGACCTTCTTTATTATCTGATTTATAATTAGACTCATAGTTATTATAATCATCTGACCTTAAGTCAGATCTATTATCAGTACAACTGCTTGAGTTACTTAAATATTCATCAAGGCTAGCGTTATCATAGCAGACGATTTCAGAGCAATCAGTTTGGTTGAAAATAGTTG